CACCAATTTCATTGCAAAAAAAAACGGTGTTGATGACGGGAATAACTCAAATTTGAATGAAATTTACGGAACTTTTCGGAATGAATTGCACGAAGTTTTGTTTACAACGAAGCTTTTTCAAGGTTCCGAACGCTTCGTTGTAACGAGATTCTACTGCAAATGTAACATAACTCCTCTAAAGGGAAGCAATGTGGTGAGGTTCTCGCGACACGAATTTTCATTACAAACAAAAATAATGTGTTGATGTCGTCGTAACTCAAGTTTAAAAAAAAATTTACGGAACTTTTCGGAATGAATTGCACGAATTATTTGCCTGCAGGTACAACACGACGGTGATGAAGAAGGTGAAATTCTACGACGAGAACACTCGTCAGTGGTGGATCCCCGACACCGGCGCCGTCAACATTCCGGCTGTGAACGATCTCATCGGCGTCCTGGGCATGGCGTTCGGGGACACCGTCCTCGAAGGCGAATTCAAACTCGGTCGTCACGCCATGTTCTACGCCTCTGGCACAAACATTGCCAAATTCCCCGCGTCCGGTCAAATCATTTCCGTCGACCTCAAAGACCAGGGCAAGGAAGTGCTGGACGGGGCTAGTGTGGAGGTGCCCAAGGCTTCCATCCTGGGACTGTATGAAAAGCCTGGTGGTGGCAGGATCGGTTTATACGGTGACTCGAATTGCCTGGACTCGGCGCATATGCACAAGGATTGTTTTTGGCTCTTGGAGGCGTTGTTGGATTTTTGCAATTCCGGGAATTTACCGAGCGTGCTCGGGGACATGGCGTCGAACGCGGACGCCGTTTTGCCGTCTGAGGGCGCCGACGTCAGACTGCCGGAGAGAATGTCGGGATCCCATTTGCACAGGTGAGCTGGGAGAAAACCCTTGTTTTGATCACCGGAAGAAAATTTAATCCGATCGTAAGAAAATTATCAGGGTATTTTTTAAAGTATTCCGAGTAGCTCGACAAATATCAGTGAGAGGGGTCAATTATTTTTGTGTGTGTTTCCTATCCTTTTGGAGTGACTCGAGATTTTGTGATATTTGTTGTTGTCACATCAACTCGTGGTTTTTATTTTCGTTGAAATTATTCGGGATCCTTGACGATATGAACTGCATTATTTACAATAAAGTAACCATCACGTTATTCCAGCCACCCAAAATTTAGTAATAGTTGCAGATGATTGAGAAATGTGCGTGATCGCCCATTAATTGAAGAGACCTGTTGAAAAATTTGGGATGGCTTGAAACTAATATGATTCTCATAAGATCAAATTAAAGAGTAACCTTTTCGAGGAAGTCCATTATTGGTGCTAGTTTTTTTATATATTTCTTATTTAGTTTCGATAACCCCCATTTATTTAAAGGTGATATTCGCAAATTTGCCTTTCGAGCGAAATTTCAAAAACTTGCTTTGAAAAAAAGAAAAGAGTCTAGAATAAGGTCTCGGTTCATTTTTTTTGTGTTTCCCTAAGACGTCAGTCCGCTGAATCAGTTCTTGACCTTTCTCTTTAGGTCTGTTCCGCATCTGTAATGTTCTGTGTGGCGTTGAAATGAGGAAAGCTCAAAAGTTTATTTTCGGAATGCGTCTGCCTTCTCGATTTAAGACCGCGTTGCAGTCCCAGAAAACAAAAAAAGAAATATTCAACTTTCTCCATATTCTCTCGAAAGCTTTATGTTTACGGATCGTTATGGATGTTTGTTTCCAGGTACAGCAAAGTCTTGGAAAGTAATTTGGACAAGGCCCGACCGCGTCCACTTCCTGCTTGTCCGAAACTCGTGTGGGCCAAAGCCGTGCCCCTCAATAAATCCGCCCCGTCGAACCTTTACAAATCTGCGAAACTCCTTTCGATTCACACTTCGAACCTGGACGTTTCTAGCCTCA